TTCGCAACAATGAAGCTAAGCACGAATACAAAGTCACGAGGTCAGTACTATTTATGAGTTAGTTAGAAATATGCAAGTAGGAATGTAAAGTTTGCTGAGAAATATAGTTGATAATTGCAAATGTGTTTATTGATGAAGGACTGACTCTTAATGCACTTCTTCATTGTGCTTTCTTGAACAAAAAAAAACAGGTTGTAACTGAAGTTTTTTGTTTCGCTTCAATTATTAGAAGAAATACTGATCTTATGAGTAGTCACTAAGTAGTGAGTTGCTTGCTTAGTTGTTCTGTGAAATCTATACCCAAATGCGCAAATGATTAATGTTCAGAAATTGTCTATGTTTCTATTCAATATTTTCTATTATGTTCACCACTTAGTCTTAGTGTGTAGAAAACTTCAACAAAGATTATGTACATTATTAGAAATGAATCGACGTCAAAATAAGAAGTTTAACAATCTTAATGAGGGTGTGGGTGTGAGTCTTCTATTCGTATTCACATCGTCCCCCACACCCTCTTACATCAAGAATGGAGTATTTAATGGGAAAAGAATGCAGATATATATACATGCATGCAAAACAAACAGGATATGTCGTAGTACATAATTTTAAACCAGAGATATATTTGTTTCATTCCTATCAATTGAGTGTCAGAAAAAAAAATTTGTTAAGCAATAAATCTGGCTCATACTGATAAAAATTACATGTTTTTAAAACATACGTTGTGGGTGTAAGTTAATACAATAATTACACTTGCAGCTGCACCCTCGAAAAAAACAGATGTTAGATCCTGCAAGATCCAATGAGGTCTTACTCCTATAAGGTTTTTTCTATGATCTTCTTACAATATCGAACAATATCTTTTATGCTCACTTTTTTTTCAAGATGTTCTCAGATTTTGATTGTGCGGTGTCAGCAAATAATCTTACAAGACTCAATGATTTAAGACACTGATTTGGACAGACTGGATCCTTCTTGTCAGATCTTAACAGATCATATAAGATCCAAAAAAAGAAACATACGCGGTACATAATGTAGATATTGCCTGTTAGCATCTGATCGTGTATGGTCTGTCCTGTTTCTTTCCCTTATTCGAGAATAGTTGATTCCATCAGCTTTCCGATGAAGAACAGTACCTGGGGAAAAGACTCGAATAGTTTACGTCAGTTTTTTTCTTCTTTTTCTATACTAATAGTGTAGAAAACGGTTATTTTTATTTTTCACCTTTCTATATTAATAGAGTACAAAACGGTTACTTGTATTCCTCATTTTTCTGTAGTGATAAAATAGTAAATCCTATTTACTTTTTATTTTCTATATTGATGATATAGAAACAGCTAGTTTTATGTCCTATTTGTCTGTAGTAATAATAATTTAGAAAATGCTGATTTTAATTTCTTATTTTTTGCATTGGTCATATGGAGAATGTTATTTTTTATTTTTCTACATTGGTAACAAAGATAACAATTTGTTTTATTCTCTATTTTTTGTATATTGTTGACATAGAAAATCTTAGTTTTTATTTTGTATTTTTCTATATCGATAATGTAGAAAAATAAGAATTAAAACTAACTGATATTTTATATTATCAATTAAAATCAATAAGAATTCAAAAATAAGATTTTCTATATTATTGTTCCAGAGATATCACAAATTAAAATTGAGATTTTCTATATTATCAATATAAAAAATCAAAAATAATAAATAAAATTTTCTAAACTGCCAATTTAGAAAAACAAGAAATGAGAATTAAGATTCTTGTATTATTGATATAGAAAATAAAAGCAATAAAACTAACTGTTATGTATATTACCAACATAGAAAAATTAAAATTAAAACTAATTGTTATTTATATTATTAATATAGAAAAATGAAAAATAATGAATAGGATTTTATATAATATCAAATATAGAGCAAATGTTGACTGTACTTGTTCTAAAATAAGACTGAAGTTTATGTGCAAAAAAAACGAAGCAAAGTAGCCGATCAGACTGATTATTTCCATGTGTATAAGAGATATTTGAGAAGTTTGATTTAATTGAAATAAATCTATAGTATTAATAAGCATTTCACATAGCTCTATGCCATCATCTATAAGTAGAAAATAAAATTATCTACTCGAATTTTATGTCTCACAATCTCTTTGATTTAAAAAGCAGAAAGTATTGTTTTGTTTTTGACTCTCATCTTCCAGTTGTTTGACACATAATTAAAGGTCTCATACCGTTTTACACGTATTTTTTTGTCAATGGAAGACAATAAATAATACTAAAATGTATTTTCTTCCAACTGCACTGAGACATTAAACATATTAAAAATACATGACATTACATGTAATAAAAATGAAAATTGATTAAATAGTATTAAATTTAATCAAGATCTCGATTATAGCTAGATTCTTCATAGATAAATTAAAAAGGATGAAATTATTTCAATTATTATTAGGGAGTTTATAAAACTGAATGACATTTTTTATTACCTTCATCGGTTCTGTAACTGTCCATTCAAGATATAATCATGGAAGTATTGTTTCTAGTCTACAGCTCAAATCAGTATCAATATCAACCTTTAGAAAATTCTAGACAAACAAAAAAAAAACTTTCTTCTAAGATTTAACCAGTGCAGAATGCGATACAATAAAAATTTGAAGAGAAGAAATCTTCACACTTATTGCTATTGAGAAAAGCTAAAATCATGATGAAATCTTTCACGATCGTTTTTTTTTATGAGAATCCTCAAAAATTTACACCTATTGAATAACCTACAAAACACAAACTTGTAAAGATTTTAGATCAAGGTTTCAATAGGAGATTTGTATTGTCTTGTAAAGAGGTGAAAATACTTGATTGTAGAAAGTTCAAAATCGATCCGTGATCGAAACTGCTTTTGTTTAAAAAACCGTGTCTCATATCCTATTAAGTTGAAAATTTGTCATACATTAGAAATGAATTCAAAATAAAAGAATTGATTGATTCGTATATAGATTATTGTTTGTGCTACAATGCAGAATAATAAACATGACAGATTCTTCAAATATTCTTGAAGTTGAGAAAAATTTGTTTTTGAGTTCTTCTTATCTACTAAAATTTGAACTTACGTATTTTTTTATCTAAACTTATCTTATTTAGCACTTCGATTAGTCTTTCTACAAACTACTTGTTTGTTTGAGATTCAGGAATAAATTACTCAATAATAAGTATAATGCAAAATTCCTGGCATAAAATACTTTCGAATGATATATGATTTATATTTGTCACACATTCGTAAATGGAATAAGAAAGAAAAATACTTACACAAAAGATTTGTAATTTTTTTATATGAATCAGTCAAAAACGTCTTATGCATGGTAGTTAAGTATAACTAACTATCGTTATTATCTAGCAAGATGTTTTTAACGAATTCATATAAAAGTGGCAAATTTATTTTGTCTCATTTCACTCAGAAATGTGTGACGAACATAAATCATACATCGTTTCCTATCGACTGATAACAAAATTGTTTTTCCTTACGTTCAAATTCTATTATAACTCATTTTATTGTAAAATTCAAACAATAAAAAATGAAATGATTTTTAAATATATTTCAAACTCGAACTAACGAAATCAGTAAATATGTTGGAAAAATTCGACAAAAAAGAAAATTTCATTCACGACAAAATCCAAGTTCATCGCAATTTTTCACATTACCAGTTAAATTTTAGTTAGTTTCAAAATATTTGAAAACGTCAACAATATTTGTTTTCAACATGAGAAAAACCAGATTCTAATCAAGTTCATAAGTAAAAAGCTTTCGTAATTGAGAGCAGTTCAATACTGTTTAAAACAAATGAGAAGGACTCATTTCAATGACATTGATGTTTATTTTTACTTCATACTTTTGTTTCCATTTTAGTACCACCACTACGTGCAAGTTCCATTGATATTCATCCGAATGCAAAATGGGCAAACAATGGTATCACTGTTGCTGGAGGAAATGGAGAAGGCAGTGAAACCAATCAACTCTATCATCCATTTGGTTTGTACGTCGACGATGATCAAACGATTTATGTCGCTGATTATGGTAATCACCGTATTGTGGAATGGAAATCTGGTGCAACGAATGGAAAAGTAGTTGCTGGTGGAAATGGAGAAGGAAATGGAGCTCATCAATTAAATGGCCCATTTGATGTGATTATCGACAAAGAGGACGATAGTCTCATCATCAGCGATGGGTGGAATAGCAGAGTAGTTCGATGGCCTCGTCGAAATGGTACTCGTGGAGAAACAATTATTTCAAATATCTCTTGCATCGGTTTGACAATGGACGACAATGGTTTTCTCTATGTCGTTGACTATAAAGAACATGAAGTGAGACGATATAAAATTGGTGATACTAAAGCAACAGTGGTTGCAGGTGGCAATGGACAAGGAAATCGTCTCGATCAACTCTCTAATCCCCGCTACGTATTTGTCGATCGAGATCATTCAGTTTATGTGTCTGATAATGAAAATCATCGTGTCATGAAATGGGAAGACGGTGCAAAACAAGGCATTGTCGTAGCCGGTGGTCAAGGAAAAGGAAATAGTCTTACACAATTGAATGAACCTCAAGGAGTCGTTGTCGATCAATTGGGTACTGTCTATGTGACTGATTGTTGGAATCATCGAATCATGCGTTGGCCAAAAGGAGCCACACAAGGAAGTGTCATTGTTGATGGAAACGGTTATGGAGCACAGTCGAATCAACTCTATTGTCCCGTTGGTTTATCATTCGATCGACATGGCAATCTCTATGTCGCCGATTACTATAATAATCGAGTACAAAAATTTGATATCGTATGAAATTCAATACGATGATGAATTTTATTTTATTTTCTGTTCTCTTTCTCTTTCAAATAAATCGCGATTAAATGAAAAAATGATTTCATAGCTATTCTATTCTCTTCGCGCGCGCGCGACCAGGAACCATCCTGGTGGAGCCGTGGCGAGGGTAGTGCTCATGCACGCGCGGGAAGACCCACATCATCCACATGCATCCATCCGATGTCATATGTCAGTGAGTCTGGGGGCCCGATCGTGTGCCACGGACACCAAGACAGTTCCTGGCCAGG